TGCCTACATTTGGGATGTCAAATAGTCTACTTTAAATCTCACGGATACTTAGATCTTAAGGCACTCCTTGAAGGATTAAAACTATTTCAACTGCACCACTTACCTGATATCCTGGTAATAAACCTATTCCAGAAAAATAACTTAATTTTTCTTTTCCCTTTTGTTAAGGGAGTACTGGTATATCACTTAGATCTGCCAAGATGGGTGCGGTTGGCTGTTCTTCAAACTAAAATGTAATCTGAACGATTATAAAGGAGCTTGGCACTGTTTCAGACAAAACAGCATTTATTTGTGTGAAAAATGCCACCAAATGGCATGTAGAACAGCCTTCTCTCCTGCAATTACACAGGGGTTTTTAAAACCACATATAAAAGTGCTATTCAGCTTGTTCTTTTTCTCTAATTAAAAATAGTACGTGAGGAAAACACTCAATAACCTTTCATTGCCTATGTGTGGTTTCAGTGTTTATGTTGTTTGTGGTGAGAGGCAGAAAAAACATGCTGATGCTGCAATAAAGTACAATGCAGTGGGCACAATTACATTTAAAGCGCTTTAAATTAAAGTGAAGAGTCCCATAAATATAATGAGCTGCTATACTAAGGTTTGAGATTGGAAACTCTGCTGTCCCACGAAGTCAGGTTGGAGATCACAAGGTGGAAGCCAGACTAAGGCACTGGTCTCCAAAACCCTCCATGATTTTCTTATCTGCCAATAAGGTGATAGAAAATTCGTATGAAAGGGTTATTACCTTTTGTTAATTATTAAGAAGCTAAAAAAATCTTATTTCATTGCTTTTATGTTGTAAGGGCAAATACATAACTATTACACGCCATTAAACTTAAATACATGCACTGATAGTATGAAGCTGGAAAATACCATTATTTTGCTTCTTTCCATTTGTTCCCCTTATCAGCATTTTGAGCTTCAGAGACAAGGAAGTGAAATTAGTGGGCTACCAGGCAATCACAAGTGTCAGAAACCCATGCAGAACACAACTCTGACAGCAGTGTTCTCCAATTTGCTGCTCTCCAAATGGATTAGACTGCCAGTCTTTCCTGGAGAGCATCAATATGTAGAAGGTGTTATACTGGCCCTACTCTTAACTGTATAGAAGAGCCTTAATGAAGGGTCCAAACAGGAGTCAACAGCATGATGTAGGAACCCCCCCCCCCCCAAAAAAAAAAAAGTGAGTGGAATTCTAGGCTGCCTCAACTAGGAGTATAATGTCCAAGTTAGGGGAAACAGTAGTACCACTCTCTTCTGCTTTGGTAAGATCTCAACTGCAATACTATGTCAGTATTTGGGCACCATGGTTCAAGACATCTATTGACAAGCATAAACATGGTCAAAGGTATAGAAGCCAACACAAGCTTTCTCATTTATTTCAGTTGAAGTCCATTTCTGTTCTCAATGGGGGGAAAATCTGTGCAGGAAAACTGACAGTGGTATAAGGATTAAGCACACTCCACTAGGCTTGTGCACGGATTTGGAGTGATTGGTTCCCTTTGGGCAATCCGGCTTGTTTAGCTTGGCCAGATGGCCATAATGTCAAGGGCCCAGCCATCATGTTTTTCCATCTATAAAGGGAACACATGGCAGCTCCTTCTCCCCTATTTGGCATCACAATTGCATCCTGGCTTCAGTGTATTATTATTTTTTTAGGCTTGGCCTCTCTCTTTAATCTTTTTTATTTTTCTTTTTAAAAAATTCTTTTTATTTAGTGGGACTGACTGGGAGTTGGGAACGTACAGGACGGGTAGGTGGGGTGCACGCATGCGTTTGGAGGCTTGGAGATTCACCCTTTTGGCTTCTTTTTCTCCTCTCCTCCTTCAGAAAATACTTCTAAAAGATACTAATTATTATTAATAATAATAATCCAGGCAAACAAAAAGAAAAGCCTCATTCTCAGAAAACTACTACTACCTAGTTACCTTTTCCCTAGAGTAGAAAGTATAAACAACTTTAAGAAAGCATTAAACCAAAAGCAGAAAGGCGCAAGTTGGGAAAAGGCACCACTCCAGCGCAAATCAAAAGAAAAAGATGGCTTTTTAAAGGAAACCCAGAGTAGGATAGCTCCAAGTTGGTTGCTCTTTCTTCCCTGGGAAGTGGGAAACCCTCTTAAAAGGTCTTGGAAAGCTGTGTGCAGGGAGAGCGCACATGCCTGCAGTGCCTGTCTCCTCTAGAGTAGAAAGAAACAGCTTTAATGAAGCCTTAAATCTGGTCTCCACTACAGAAAGAAAGGAAACAATTGCAGAGAGTGGTATCTTAAGTCTGATGCTTTTAAAGATGGTAGAATGGAACTAAAGCCCTTTGAGGAAATCAGGAAACTCAATGAGAAAATTACATGGCTGAATTATTTCCAAATTCACGAGGGCTTTAGGGAAGATAGAAAATTAGGTTTCAATCAGGAAAAAGGGATATGGGATATTATCATGGAGAGAAATAAAAAATTAATAAGAATACTATGTAAACAATTATTGCAATGGGATACGGAAGAAGAGCAAGTTAAAGAATGTCAAGTTAAGTGGGCAAAAGATATAGGTTACAACATCTTGATGAGTCAATGGGAAGAAATTTGGACAACCAAAATTAAATACACCATAGTCAGTGACCTTAAGGAAAACTGGTACAAGATGTTTTACCGCTGGCATTATACGCCAGAGAAAATAGCGAAGTTCAACAAAAACATATCAGATAAATGTTGGAAATGTGGTAAGGAGGTAGGTACATTTTTTCATCAATGGTGGAGTTGTAAGAAGATTAAAAAATATTGGAAAAGTATACATCAGGCCACCCAGAAAATATTAAAGAGAAATTTCCCACAGGCCCCTGAAACATACTTGTTAGGGATACAAAAGGAATCCAAAATGAATAAAAATCAAGAAAAAATCCTTTTTCTGCTAAGCACAGCGGCTAGACTAGTTCTTGCCAGGAGATGGAAACAAAAAGAAACCCCAACTCAGGAAGACTGGATAATAAAGGGTTTTGATATTATTCAAATTGATAGCTTATCCCAGAGAATCAATGGCACATCCAGAAGAACAGACTGGACAGATTTTAAAGACTATATAAAAACAAGAGAAATTCCGATGATAATTGATTTGACTTGCATTTAGGAGAGTAAGAAAGAAGAAAGAAAAGATTGCCAGCACACATGAAGAACAATGATATATAATCATCAAAGGTTCTTGGAAAACCTTGGGAGTCACTTCACGGACTGGAAATAAGCATTTAAGGACACGCGGGAGGAGGGTGTTTTCTTCTCTCTCTCTCTCTCTCTCTCTCTCTCTTTTCCTTCTTTTCTTTCTTCTTCTCTCTTCCCCTTTCCCCCCCCCCCACACACTTTATCTTTTCAGCACTTTACTGTAATGTAACACAAAACTCAATAAAAATTTATTCAAAAAAAAAAGTCTGATGCTTTTAATCCAGGTCTTAATGAAGGATAGAAGGACAAACAATGCCTAAACTGACAGGAAGGGGAGCCTGGGAAATCCCCCCCCCCCCAATAATGGGCTGGATAGCGTGCTTCCTTAAGGCTGTTGCTGAAACCCAGGCTCCCTTGATGGGAAAAATGAAAAGGATCCCAGGAAGGGTGCTTGCTTAACCTCATTGCTGAAACCCAGGCTCTCTTGAAGGGAAGAAAGGAAAGGGTCCCAGGAACAGAAAGGGGAGCCTCGTAAGTTCCCCATAGCCTCCAGTGGACCGGATCTAGCTGTATTTTTCAGGTGAGGACCAAAAAAGGTTCTCCATCTATCCACCCATTTTTGGGAGGTGTGCAAAAATGGATCCAGGGGTCCACCGGAATCTGGCCAGCAGAAATGGATCGAGGTTCAACCGAAATGCACAAAGCTTAGACTCTACTTCTACCTACTCATTCTTTCTTCCAAATGCCCAAACTGACAATAGCATTTAAGATGGAGATATGAACAAACAGAAAACAAGTTTAGTTTGATCCACAAGACACAAATTATTTGAAGGTATGCAATATCATAATCCTAGGATTGTATTGACCCTAACCACTTTGAATTTTCCCACTCAAAGTAATGGGAGTTACTTCTGAATACTTATATTTATAATTTGATTAAATACTTCACAACTCATTGTGCAGTGTATTTCCATGCTTTCAATTCCATACATTTCAGATTGCTAGGTTTTAGTTATGAATTGCACTTTAAGTCACTCCTTTTGACGGGACAAAATTAATAGCAAAACATAAATAGCAGGCCAGGAGTATTCTGTTCTTTGAATACACTCACATAGTAACATGCTTCATAGTTTGCTGCCATCTCCTGTCAGTCGGTGTATTGCCACAAGGCGGCTCTTTGTGGACAGTTTTGAGACGTATATATTAGGCCTGGGTAACAACGGAAAAATTTGTTTCTAAAATTGATTTGTATTTGGGGTTTTTTTTTGTTTCGATATTTAAAATAATTACAAAATTTTCCTTTTAAAAAGTTCGATATTTACGAAATTTCGTAAATGGTAAAAAATTAACGAATCGATTTCCGAAACAATAACGAATCGATTCGTTAATGGCGGACGCGACCGCGAAAATACACTAAAAAAACCTCCAAAACCTTCTGAAGCTTCCCTCTCCCTCTGTTGTTGCCTGTTGGTGTGATATTATAATTTTTTTCCACTAATTAAACCATAAAACTGGCCCAGACATGCGGAAATAATAACGAAACGACATCAAAACAATAACGAAACGAATACAATATCGAAATACGAAGCATTTACAAAACGTTTTTGAAAATTCATTTTTTTAAATAATTGCTCCAGAATGGTTCGTTATCGTTTTGTAATTGAAAAAATTAACGAATTATTAACGAATTACGAATTAACGAAACGAAACCGCCCAGCCCTAGTATATATTGAGCATATTTGAGTTTATCCATATTTGTGCTACATGAAATCAAATAAAATTAAGCATATATTATGGTGAATGGTTTAAAATTAATGTACTGTAATGTTTAAAACAAACCAAAGTAATCTTCACATGATAAAAAAAAATCCCCTTTATTATCAATTCTAGCAGGCGAACGTCCTTGGTTTTTCTGTGGGAATTTCACACTCATTACAAACACCAGCCTCCTCATTACTTTCAGATTTAGCATCTTCTTTGTTACGTAAAAGTTCAGGGAAATCAAGTACAGAAGGAATAATGTAGTGAGGGACTGGAGAAGAGGGTTTTGGGGCTGCTATGGCTTTATTTACCCAGACGGTCGCTTTCAAACCAGCATTCAAGCCTCCTTGGATGTCTGTATCCAGAGAGTCACCAACCATCACACAGTCCTCAGGCTGAACTCCTAGAAGTTCACAGCAGTGGTGAAATATAGAGGGTGCTGGTTTCTCTTCTTGGTGTTCTCCACCTACAACAATGGCATTGAAATATTGTTGGCAATCACAAGCTTTGATCTTTTCTCTTTGTGTTTGTGTGTCCCCATTTGTCAGCAGAAGCAACTGGACCACCTTTCTGAGGTCATGGAGCATCCTTTGTGTCTCCTCTGCCAAGGTCAAATGTTGCAGGCGAGTGGTTTTCCAAAGGAAATAGCAATCTGCAGCGAGATTACGGTTGGCTGTTCCTCCTTTGACTTCTTGTATAGCCTCTTCCCAGTGTTGAATCCTGAGGTCAGTGATACACATTTTAGAAGGATCATAGTATTCTTTGAGAAGCTTGGCTTGGAACTTATTGCATATCATGCAGGCATCTCTTTCATCACAGTGGTACTTCGACTGTAAGACATTTATCACCTACAACCAGAGAGTTCAAACAGTAAAGATCAGTTCAGTTCAAAATGAACAATTTTGCTTTCTAGCAGGCAATTATCTATCCAGATGTTTGACTGGAATGAAAAAGAGGAAACACATAACAACAGACAGCCTCAAAGCTATGCAATGCATCATAATTGTATTACAGCATCACAATATCTTGTGTTTTAGAGCTCACTCTGTTAATACTTTGTGAAGTTTCTCTTTTCACATGATTAATCTACAAGACAGATGCAGTCACAACTTCCACTTTAAAATTTATAATTCTCCTACGTGTTCATTTAATGTACACTGACATTTTAATATGGCTCCAAGCCGACTTGAAATTACAACAACCACAAAATGCAGGGCGTCAATGCTCTCTGCGGCATGGATTAATGGGTATAGGTAAAGGTAAAGGTTTTTCCCTGACATTAAGTCCAGTCGTGTCTGACTCTGGGGGTTGATGATCATCTCAATTTCTAAGCCGAAGAGCTGGTGCTGTCTGTAGACACCTCCTAGGTCATGTGGCCTGCATGACTGCATGAAACGCTGCTATCTTCCTGCTGGATCAATACCTATTGATCTACTCACATTGCTCCCCGGATCTGAACCAGCAACATTTCTGTCCGCAAGTTCAGCAACGCTGCGCCACCTGGGGCTCATTAATGGGTATACAGAACATTAAACAAAGTAGCAGGAAAGTCTAAAACAAGTGACATAATGTGCAGATCCCAGTGTAGCCCAGATCCCAGATTTAAACCAGCTCAGCAGAATGTGGAGCACATTGTAGACACCACCCTCACTAAAGCACTTTGGAAAAATTAGAACAAGGGGGCAAAGGGCTGCCAAAAACACTCCAAGGGTATGGCAGGGGCTAACTGACCCCTTGAGAAGAGAAATTAATTACCTCTGCTGCTGCCATTTTCCTCTTTTGTTTTCACTTCCTGTGCATCTCTCCCAGATATCTACTTTTCTTCACTCTAGTGTGGGATATCATGACACATTCTGTGGAATGCAATTATCCTACATATCCAAGGTTTCGTGCTAACTGGATGTTTTTAATTCACAATGAAAATCAAGAAGTGATTCCCCTCACACATATTTTAAATGTGTTTATTTACTTTACTTTTATCTCATGTTTCTTCTCATCGGGACTCAAGGCAGCAAAAAATAACACAACACAATAGAATTTAAAACAAGCCAAATACATATACAAAGGAATACAAAAAAATAATACTAATGTTATGAATAAAAACATTAAAATGCAATAAAATGCTATTAAAATTACATTTAAAAGCTAAACATCTCACCAAAATCCAAAAGTCAGACCCTACCCTCATTGTATGGGTATGCAGGAATTTCAAATCATAAGGAGAGGCATTCAGTCTAGCTGTTGGGAATGGTGGGAGCTGAAGTCCAACACACCTGGAGGGCCCAAGTTTGCCCAGGCCTGGTCTAGATGCACACGAGGATATAAAAGCGGGTCATACCTCCTCAATGGCTCTCCTGCCGGCTCCGGCGGTGTCCACCAAGGTGTTGTCCAGGTCAAAGAAAACCGCCTTGACGCCCTGCAGCCCCATCGCAGAAGTGGCTTCCTCGGCTACACTCACTTCCGGGAACCCCTCCACTCCGCGGATAGCTGTCCTTGTCTCGCGAAACTTCAACTGAGAACGGGCAAGGCAGGGCGGGGCGTTCTCTGAGTCCAGAGGCAATTCCCACATCCGCCTTCGGGGGCAGGTTGTAAAAGCCCATACAGAGAACGCTGTGGACTTCAACTCCCAGAATTCCTGACTATTGGGCAAACTCGCTGGGGCTTCTGGGAGTGGAAGTCCAAAACCACAGGAGACTCCTTTAGATCTTGTGGGTTTTTTCGGGCTATATGGCCATGTTCTAGAGGCATTTCTCCTGACGTTTCGCCTGCATCTATGGCAAGCATCCTCAGAGGTGAGGTCTGCTGGAACTGGGAAAAAAGGGGTTTATATATCTGTGGAATGACCAGGGTGAGACAAAGGGCTTTTGTCAGTTGGGCTAGGTGTGGATCTTTCAACTGACCACCTTGATTAGCATACAATGGGCTGACTGTGCCTGGAGCATCAAGGGAACCACTGACCGCATAGGGAAGCTGATGAGGAAACACAACATAGAAACAATCTACAAACCCACCAAGAAAATCCAACAAATGCTACGTTCAGCAAAGGACAAGAGGGATCCTCTCACCTCTGCAGGAGTCTACCGTATACCTTACTTACTTACTTACTTACTTACTTACTTAGGCGATCCCTCGCTTTCCGAGGATGATTGTCTTCCAATATTCTTGTGGGTCCGTATGTTGCTGTGGAGCCCTATTCTTGCTCTGCATCTTCTTCCGCAGTGAGGGCATTGGTTTCCAGGTGGAAGGCGGTCTTGGTCGGGGTTGGCTTGACGCGCCTTCCTCTTGGCACGTTTCTCTCTTTCACCCTCCACTCGTGCCTCCTCGAATTCTGCAGCACTGCTGGTCACAGCTGACCTCCAGCTGGAGCGGTCAAGGGCCAGGGCTTCCCAGTTCTCAGTGTCTATGCCAGAGTTTTTAAGGTTGGCTTTGAGCCCATCTTTAAATCTCTTTTCCTGTCCACCAACATTCCGTTTTCCGTTCTTGAGTTCGGAGTAGAGCAACTGCTTTGGGAGATGGTGGTCGGGCATCCGGACAACAAGGTCGGTCCAGCGGAGTTGATGGCGGAGGACCATCGCTTCAATGCTGGTGGTCTTTGCTTCTTCCAGCACGCTGACATTTGTCCGCTTGTCTTCCCAAGAGATATACCATGCAGCTGTGGACAAGTCTACATAGGGACCACCAAACGCAGCGCACTGCAGACTACTCCAACCAGAGAAATCAGCCATAGCAGAGCACCTGATGAACCAACCTGGACACAGCATATTATTTGAGAACACAGAAATGCTGGGCCACTCTCACAACCACCATGTCAGACTACAGAGAAGCCATTGAAATCCACAAACATGTGGACAATTTCAACAGAAAGGAAGAAACCATGAAAATGAACAAAATCTGGCTACCAGTATTAAAAAATTCTAAAATTGCAACAGCAAAACAGCAGAGAGAAAAACAGGCAGGGACATCTATAATCACCTTTCAAGAAGAGTTTGCTCCAGGCACAGTCAGCCCATTGTATGCTAATCAAGGTGGTCAGTTGAAAGATCCAAACCTAGCCCAACTGACAAAAGCCCTTTGTCTCACCCTGGTCATTCCACAGATATAAAAACCCTTTTTTTCCCAGCTCCAGCAGACCTCACTACCTCTGAGGATGCTTGCCATAGATGCAGGCGAAACGTCAGGAGAAATGCCTCTAGAACATGGCCCTATAGCCCGAAAAAACCCACAAGAACTGAGTGATTCCAGCCATGAAAGCCTTCGACAATACATCGACTCCTTTAGAGATTGAGGACTTCCTTTCCCAGAATCCCTTCCCGTTGGCGATACAGGCGGAGGCTTCTGGGAGTGGAAGTCCAAAGCGACAGGTGGCCCAAAGTTGCGTCATCTCTGCTCTTAAAGAGGTCCTTCAGAGATTGCGGACTTCATTTCCCAGAATCCCTTCCCGTTGTCCAAGCAGGCGGAGGCTTCTGGGAGTGGAAGTCCAGGACCCCTAGAAGAGCCCATGCCTTTATAAAAGGAAATTTGTGTTGTAAAGTCCGGGTTTCTCTCTCACGGAGGAACTCACTCGCGTGGCCCTTCCTCGACAGGCTTCCTGCCTGTGTCTTCTCTGAGGGAGAAGAGAGGGAGGCGGCTCTTCCTTCCCCGCTCCCTCGGGGCAATTACCAGAGGGCCGGACCCCTCGCCCTGGAGGCCTCAGCCCGGCCCTAGAGCACCCCTCTCTGCCAGTCTCACCATGGCCGCCCTCGTGTTTTGCAACGCCTGCTTCCAGAAACCCCAGGGCGCTGCTCCCAAGTTCAGCCTGACCAGTTGCGGTCATGTTTTCTGTGAGCCATGCCTCCAGAAAGGTAATCCGCCTTCTAGGCCTGGGTTACACCTCTTGGAACATCTACACCAGGCATAGGCAAACATGGGCCCTCCAGGTGTTTTGGACTCCAACTCCCACCATTCCTAACAGCCTCAGGCCCCTTCCTTTCCCCCCTCAGCCACTTAAGTGAAAAGGGAGGGGCCTGAGGCTGTTAGGAATGGTGGGAGTTGGAGTCCAAAACACCTGGAGGGCCCAAGCTTGCCCAGGCCTGATCTATACACACTACAATATGCATCATTTCACCACATGGTCATTCAGGGCCTGGTAATAGTATGATAACTGGGTCCAGAAGCTCCAAGCGTTATGGAGATGCCTTTGGTAGTGCTGTTTGAGCAAGAGAGACTTGGCTAATGTAAGCCAGGCTGGAGACAAATAATATAGAACAGGTGTCCTCAAACTATGGCCCTCCAAGGTCATTTAGCTGGCCCTCGCTCAGGGTCAACCTAAGTATGAAATGACTTGAAAGCAAACAACAACAATCCTATCTCATCAGCCAAAAGCAGGCCCACACTTCCCATTGAAATACGAATAAGTTTATATTTGTTAAAATTGTTCTTCATTTTAATTATTGTATTGTTTTAAAGTGTTTTTTTGAACTACAAATAAGATATGTGCAGTGTGCATAGGAATTCATTCATTTTTTTTTTCAAATTATAATCCGGCCCTCCAACAGTTTGAGGGACTGTGACTTGGCCCTCTGTTTAAAAAGTTTGAGGACCCCTAATATAGATTGAATGTAAGGGTTCTTTAATGGTGAAACCCTAACTCTGAACCATACCGTAAGCCTAATCCTAACCCCTTACCCTAACCCAAACCCTTACCCTAACCCTTACGCTAAACCTTACCCCTAACCCTTACCATAACCTAAACCCAAAACCTTACCCTAACCTTTAATCTATATAAATAAAAATGTAATGTTTGTTTGTGGGATTAACATAACTCAGAAACCACTGGATGAATAGACCCGAAATTTGGACACAATACCCCTATCAGGCCAATGAGTGACCATCACTCATAAAAACACTGAAAAATACAGCGGAAGGGACTTAAAAAGCCAAAAAATGAAAAATGCATTACAATGCATTCACAAAACTACATATAAACACATATACACAAATATATACCCACACAAAACACATATACACAGACTGGGCCACAGCAATGCATGGCAGGGGATGGCTAATAATAATAATAAACCCTTATGCTAACCCAAACCCCAAACCTTACTCTAACCCCTCCCTAAACCATACCCTCACTGTAACCCAAACCCTAAACCTTGCCCTAGCCCATACTCTAAGCGTCCCCTCCTTTCTATCCTTCCTTCGCTCTCCCCGCTCTCACTCCGCCCCCTCTCTTCCCATATTCACAGCCGCCTTTACGGCATCTCCATAACGCTCAGAGCTTCCTTCTTTGGAAGCTTTTAAACAGAGGCTGGATGGCCATCTGTCAGGGGTGATTTAAATGCAATATTCCTGCTTCTTGGCAGGGGGTTGGACTGGATGGCCCATGAGGTCTCTTCCAACTCTTTGATTCTATGATTCTATGATTCCGGACCCAGCTATCATACTATCACCCAGGGCCCTTCCACACGACTGAGTATCAAGGCAGATAATCCACAATATCTGCTTTGAACTGGATTATCAGAGTCCACACTGCCAGATAATCCAGTTCAATGTGGATTATATCCTGCTGTGTGGAAGGGGCCTTCACTTTACCAGGAAAAGAGATTAACCCTTTATAAGAGATACACATGCATACATAAATTGTAATAGTGAAATGAGTAGTATCTCATGCAAATTATCTCATGAAAACCTCAGTGCCATCTTCCTTTGGTCCGAAAATCTTCCATGATGGGAAAGTACCCTCCTAGACGCAATAAAAACATTTACATCTTAATCGTTATCTAGCCAGTAAGTAAAATTACAACCCCTTGTAATATGTTCTATGTGAATAAACCAGTGGAGAAAAAACAAAAATAATTACTAAATCAGACCTAATAAACTAAACTGATTTTAAATATCTATAAATTATCATGGATGGTAATGCTCATTTTGCATTCAAAATGATACATATTTTTAATCAATCTTTATTTTATAGGTAAAAAAGATGAGTGTGTGATTTGTAGAGCTCCTTGTCGTACAATACTACTTTCAAAAAAGGTATAGAAAAATATTATAACTACAGATTCTGGTAATTTATAAGATGCTTAAAAACAGGATTTTGATTTGTATCTGAGATCCATGCACTTACAGCGACTTGGTTTTCTTTTGTGCTAGTGAAATGCTTATTGTTTCATTACAGAGTGGTTGACCAGAATACACACACCATTGGCAGAATACACAGTGCTGTTTATACTGAGCTAATTGTAAATCTTCAAGGAATGTTGCTAATTTCTTTAAAAATTCCAGATGCTAATAAGTATAGTCGGTCTTCGCTGTGATAGGGGCACCAGATCCCTGTGGGGGGAAAATGAATTAAAATGGCTATATTTTTACATGAGAGCACTACTCAGTAGGTAATCTTGAACAACTCATATGGGCAATTTCTGTTGCAAGTTGACAATAGAATCACACTGAAGGATCTAGAGATTCCTAGAGAGGTATTCTAGGAATCTCTCTAGGAATCTCTAGTTCCTCTGGCATGACTCAGTGATCAGATTTCTAGAGTTAAGATATCAATTAATCTAATCCATGAATAATCAAACCCATAGATGTGGAGGATCGACTATTTTTCAATGTTTGATAGTGAATTTTGTCATGGCATTAGGCAGTGATGGACTTTGATTTAAAAGAACATTGAAGTTTTCCTTCTTTCAGTGGCAAGTGCATTTGTCTGTATATTTGAAACATGGTAAGACAACCTTGTTGCATTTGGAGGCCACCTTGTTCCTTCTATTGAAGTGGACTTCAGATGTTTGAACCAAAGTTCTGTCATGATCACACCACTGAGAATGTACATTGTGTGAAGAAAATACTTTTGTTCTGATTATAATATATTTTTAATGAATAGCGCCATAGATAATGATAAGGGTTTAAGTTTTCCTGCAAAGTGACTTTTATAGATTTTTAAACAATATTGATCTAATAATATTATTTTTGGTTGGTAATATGTTTCACTACAGATGAGTCCAGATATCCAGGCACTGTTTATGGGAATAGATGCGTTGTGCACAAAGTACTCCAAAGAACTTACCCAAGTGAGTTGTTCATTCATTATGTTAAATATTTTTCCCTAGGAATTTATTTATTTATTTACTATATTTATTGCTTTTCTCAGCCCTTGGGCGACTAAAAGTGGTTTACAGTAGCTACAATTCAATGCTCAAAACATCATAAAACAATTCAAACAATTAAAAACAGTAGCATAAATATACAATCAATACAAAGTCAATAAACATAGCTCATAACGTCTCTTAGTTAAATCAAGGTTCAATCACCTCACCCAATAGTTCCATATTCCTATGTTTGTTACACTGCCTTTTCAAATGCCTGCTCAAACAACCAGGTCTTAACTTTCCTCCAAAATGCTAACTAGGTAGGGGCCTCTAGGAAGGGTGTTCTATAGCCGAGGGGCCAACACTGAGAAGCCTCTGTCTCTCATCCCTGCCAAACGTATTTGCGACGCAGGCGGGATTGAGAGCAGGGCCTCCCCAGACAATCTTAACATCCTAGCTGGTTCATAGGAGGAGATGCGTTCAGACAGGTAAGTTGGGCCAGAACTGTTTAGGGCTTTACAAGCCAGCACTTTGAATTGTGCCCAGTAGCAAATTGGCAGCCAGTGGAGCTGGAGCAACAGAAGAGTTGTATGCTCCCTGAGTGCCGCTCCTGTTAGTAACCTGGCTGCTGTCCGTTTGACCACTTGAAGCTTCTAGAGAGTCTTCAGAGGCAACCCCACATAGAGTGTGTTGCAGTAGTCTATACGGAAATGTCTTAGGTGATGAATTTCACATCCATTCTGTCATCTCCAGTTTATCCCCACAAGGTTATATGAGCAGGCTGAGGAGGTGGCAACAGAATATGTCTGGCCTGTAACATCTTAATGTCTAAAATAGCTCTGTTTTAACACTGCATTTTTAGAATTGCTTTTCGATTGTTTTAAGAAATTAAGAGTTTTTTGTGTTTTTAAAATGTTCTCATCTTTATGCTGCTTAAATTCTTTTTATTCATTTGTCTTCTCATACCTGGGAGACAACACAGAAACATTAAAAAAAGTAATAAATATGAATAACTTCATAATTTGGAGCCACATCACTCTGGAAATTTCTTAAAGTTTCCCATCAGTAATTTTTTTCTTGCCACTGAAAGAGATGTACTCTTATTTTAACTAAAATTAGTACAAATACAGCACTTAACTGGTGGTTAGAAAATTTAAGAATATTGCAGAATTGCAGTTAGTTCCAGTTGGTTCCATGTCTTGTGTGCAAGTAGGCCAAGTAATGGTTTCAATTAATTTTTCATGACTTTTAAATATGTTATTCTCATGAACATATAATTTTAAGCTGTCAGATTTTCTGAAAAATGTAATTATTGCTTTCTCAACCCCCGAAAATTAACATGTCAGCAAAATTGGTAATACCTAAAATACATTTGTTTCATGGTTTAGGTTTGGTCTCTTGATTTGCTGAAATGATCCATAAAGGACATGATCAATAATTTCATTTCTTAGCTTTTACTGTCTTTCTTTCAGATGTTTGTCATAGCAACATTATTTTGTGGCTTTTCTTTACTTTCTCCCCCAATTTTTAGATTACCCAATTCCAGGAAAAACACAGGCAACGACTATCAGCATATTACAGAGGAAAGGTACTAAATTCAGTTGAAATATATTTGGGGTTGAGTGGAGGGAGGTTTAATGAAGCCATTTATATTTTCATGTATTATCAAAATGTAACAAGTTGATTAACAGTTACTGACACTATTAAATTACTTTAAATTTCTGAGACAAAGTTTCTTTATTTCCTTGATGTGGATGGACTGGATCAAGAAAAAACACATGCAATACTAACCTTTGTATCATCTAACAGTTACAATGTTATGACTAGACTATCAAACAGTTACTCATGAACAATGCCATTAAAGACAGCTGAAAAATTTTAGGAAGTTGTGGGTGGCAGTAAAAGTCACAGAGGTCAAATTACTGACGTATATTTTTCCATGCAGACTACAAAACTTGAAGGATATCTTAAGAGAGCAACACAACAGATTCAGCAAATGCAACAACAACAGCAGTAAGCAGTATTTTGCATATGAACATTTCAGTTAAATATGAATATTATATGGAACGTGTGTTGCCTTCATGTCCTGCCTATGGACTTAGACCCCTTCTACACTGCCATATAATCCAGTTCAAAGCAGATAATCTGGATTTTATATGGCCGTGTAGAAGGGGCCTCAGTCAGATGAAACTAGTTACCATCTGGCTAATTAATATTAAGAATGTGACATTAGAATGGATGGATCTTTTGGCTAATTCAGTAGGATGCCATTGCTTGCAGTCTTAAATAAAAAAGAAAAATACTACATTTCTGCTACATTTGAGTTCAGTTTCTTGTGAAAATTAATTCATTTTCTACACTTCATAAAATCAACTATGAAATTGTGTTCTATTAATCTAGTGAGTTTATGTAGCTGTGAATTGTGATCAGATGAAGATACCCTTGCCCAATCTGGAAAGTAGGACCTGACCTTGCAGTAATTCACGCCTTGCTTTACAGACACAGTCTTTCATGGTTGTTGTTGTTGTTGTCCTCATTGTAATTATCATCTGTTTATTTATTTACCTAAGCTCCATGGAATCCAAGAGTGCTTATTATTAAGTGGATAGGCATAGGATCGGTTAGTCGCTGATCCGGCTTTTCGTAAATATGTACATAGCACATCTAGAAAGAGGATGAATGACACCAGACCTGTTGTGTTTAAATGAAGTTGGGTTCTCCTTCATTGTAGGTTTTGAGACAGATTTAAATAATGACGAGTACTGCAATCAGAGATTCCTGCACAACCAAGGACTTGGACAAACTGGACCTCAGAGCCACTTCCTGTTCTTGCATCATTGTTGTTGTGCTTTCAAGTCATTTCTGACTTATGGCAAACCTATCATGAGGCTTTCCTGGCAAGATTTGTTCAGGGGGATCTTGCCTTTACCTGTCTGTGAGGCTAAGAGAATGTGACTTACCCTGTGGGCTTCATGGCTATATAGGAATTTGAATACTTGTCTCAAGAGTCCAACACTCAAACTACGACACCATGCTGGTTCTATGATATTATAGAACAGAAATAATCTCGCCCTCGCTTTAGCACTTGATTTTATTCTCTGTAACTCAAGAAATAAAATGTAACTTATATTTAGTGATTTATGTCTCATCACTTTGAAAAAATAATCTAATTAGGATTAGAATATTTGACTATTAGAATATTAATTTTGACATGTTGTATTCTCATCCATATTAGTGGTGTTTCATCAATGGAAGTAGATTATATGCCAGCATCAATCAGGAAAGTAGGTGGTTTTTTCCTACTCCATATATAGAAATAGTTGCTGTTATAAATCTTCAGCTTTCTTCTCAGAAATACTTGTGACAAACTGCTGTTTATCTGTCCATCCATTCATTGATTTAGTTAGTCATTTTATATCCCACCATTCTCCTGCCAAGGAATCAAAAGCAGTTCAATTCTCATCTTGACTCCTAAACCCTTAAAAGTACAACTTGTGCAGTGCTATCAAATTAATGTTTTGAAAAGGAGAAAACTACAAGCACTCCTCAGGAATATGTAAAATTATTATCTCTGTATCAGATACTAGGTCATACAACACCTAACTAAAGATTTAACATTTGAAGCAAATATAGTAGCCATAATTAAACATTGAATTCAGGAGTATTCCAATGAGGTGTAAATGTAAGACATGGTCGGGTTGTAGGGGATAATGATTACATGTATGTACATTCTTTCCATAGTTTACTTCTTCAAGATTCTTCTGTGTGTGCGTGCGTGCGTGCGTGTGTGTTTTTAACCCAAGCAATACAAGTGGTGACCTTACATGGGAAATCATGTTCCTGGATGAGAGAGCATCGAGTATCTCCAAATTTTGGGTACATGTCTTTATGGCAAAACCTAGATTTGAACATGTCATGTGTAACATATTCCCCATAACACTTTTAACAAGTGCACAACAGAAGAAAATTCTGTAATACATTACTTCTCTGGTGCTTACCTCCAAGTTGGAAAAAGTTTGATTTGTTAGGTACCTGTTTGACATGGTACAATCACAAATGCTTCCCAGAAAAGGTAACTACTATTACTGGAAGATACTAGAAAATATGCAGTTGGCCACAAAGTTAGGTACTGATACTTTTCTCTCTGTACCTGAGTGTATGTGTTTGTTTTAGGAGATGATGTATATTTGCKCCATAAGATGTAAGGATAAACAGTGCAAACCACCTCTTATCCACAGATTCAATATCCATAGTTTCACTTTTTCATGCTCCCCCCCCCCCCCCCCCACAAAGTGTTTGTGGGCCTTTCTAGACCCTCCAGTGCAAGTTTATGGTATGTTTTTAGCCCAAGTGTATTCAAAATATAAATTCACTATTATCCATGGTTTCTGTTTCAACAGGTAGTATTGAAACATATTCCACATAGATATTGGGTTCTCACTATGTCTGTTAAAATTTTTATATAACTGACTTATGTTAAAACACAGGAGTAGGACCAGTAGCTGCAATGCCAGCCTTAATGGCACTTACTGCAGATGTATGTGGAATGCATAGTATGCTTTTTGTGTATTAAATTTGGAATTGTTTCAACCTTGGTTTCCTGAAATGGTGAACATTCAAATGAACCCCCCCCCCCCCCCCCCCACACACACACATATTTCAGTCTGTGATTACAGCAAGGAGAGTGGTTGTTTTCAGCTATGTATAGAGCGGAATCTAACTATATCTGTTTTGTTGCCATCTGTACGTTTCAAAGAAATAGTTTCAGTTAAAACACCTTAGCCTTCAGGTACATTTGTTTCATATTCTCACCATTCTCTCCAGATGTAGCAGAGAAGACCACAAAAACTCTTTTATTTTAAACTATTATATCTCTTTCATTCAACTTAATATAACCTGTTTCCTTTTGATGTGAATGAATTATTGTTCCCGTCATCTCTCACAAAGTAGCCATTCTGGCTAATGTTAATAGGACATGGCATTTGACAACATCCGGAAGGCTACAGCTTCCACATTCCTTTTGGTTTATTTTGAATAACAAACATTATTAATAATATTTTTGCTATTGAAAATCAGCAAATTTCTGACAACTTGAAATGTGCATGATTTATCAATAGTGTCACAAACATTAGCCACTATTTGACAGATAGAGATGTTTAAATTACTTATTTTACATGCTTTAAATTATTTTACATACTTTTTTATACCTAGGTTGACACAGTGGCTGGACCGACAAGGATATCATTGATAAGCCCACCTCATGACGGACATATGGGTAAGAAGAAATAATTACCTATTTTTAAGTTCATGCCTGTATGGGTTCATGCCTTGTCTTGATAATAATTTGTGTATAACATGTGGATGCCAACCTCAGGTGATTGTACCCCCAGTTGATCAAAGAAGGGAAATGTACTTTTGGAATTTGAATGTTCACAGTGGAAGGCAGTACTCTGAATAAGGGAGAGCCTCCTGTCGGTTTCACCTTTCATCATGATGTCAGTAAAAAATCAATAGGACTGCCACTACATAAATGCTATCTTCATTTGACAGATAATAGAAAATAGGAGCAAAGATTTATTAATATTCTCCTGCCCTAAATGGAGCTGCTATTACCCAGTAGCAGCTCCTGAACAATTAAAAATGAACAATTAAAAATGAACAATTAAAAATTCAATAATCGCATACCTCACTTGGATAATAGAGAAGTTCAAAGTACAAATTAATAAATAAATAATCAATCAATAATACATGTTCTCACCGCGTTCGGGGAGGGGGGAGCTGCTACCGGGTAATAGCAGCTCCCCCCTCCCCAAACGCGGTGAGAACATGTATTATTGATTGATTATTTATTTATTAATTTGTACTTTGAACTTCTCTATTATCCAAGTGAGGTATGCGATTATTGAATTTTTAATTGTTCATTAAATTATGAATAATTTATAATGGTTTATATACGTTTTTGGCCCAACTTACCTGTCCAAATGTATCTCCCTTTATGAGCCAGTCAGAGCGTTAAGATCTGCTGTGGAGGCCCTGCTCTTGGTCCCATTCCATTCACAAGTGTGACTAGTGGGGGTGAGAGACAGGGCCTTCTCAGTGGTGGCCCCTTTAGCTTTAGAACTCCCTCCCCAGTGACATCAGACTGGCCCCTTCCCTTTCTGCTCTTCAGGAAAAAGTTAAAAACCTGGCTTTGTACACAGGTGTTCAGGGAGTAGTTCAATATGGAATCAGACTTGAATGTAGCAGCTTGAATGATGGGACCATGGGACTAGGCACTGTTTTTTAATCTGTTTTATTTAAATTTGTAAACTTTTTTATAGTTTGAGGTGTTATGTTTGTTTATTTATAAACATATAATTATAATTATAGCACTGAATTTTGCTATAATTTGTGAGTCCCCTCCGGGGTGAGAAGAGTGGAGTAGAAATATAGTAAGCAAGCAAGCAAGCAAGCAAATAAATAAATAAATAATCTAGTTTTTCTGAAATGTGTACAATTAGACATCATGCTGGTTTGACAGAAAAGTAATGTATTGAAAGTCTTCAGCATACCATTATTAAGATTTCATTATTTCAAATGCCATGTTTTATTCCTAGATTTCTGGAAATCAAACATAGTTCCAAAATAATGCATTGCAAGGCTTATATTTGCTATCTTGTATGTTTGTTCACATGTAAGTCCCATTGAATTCAATGGATCTTATTGCCAGGTAAATAGAAATAAATTGTAGCCTTAATGTTTTGATACAATAAGGAATATTATTTTCAGGTAGTGTTTCCTGCAAGAGTTCTCAATTGCCTGGAAAGAGTTCATGCCACAGGAATTCATCAGGGTCAATAAGGTAATGAAAAAGAGTATTGCAAGGTGATTCTGTGTGAAAATAGAATCACCAAAATAGAGTGTTATCTTTTCTTGCCTCATTTATGTGGTGGACATTTCTAAGTAGAACCTAAATCAATAATGGGCAACCTTTTGAGCTTGGTGCGTCAATACTTGCCAAAAAAACAAGCATAACTCGGGTGGGGTGTCACTTCGAGAAAAAAACATAATTTCATGATATTTATAGTTTAATAACAAAAATATATTATTGTAATATATAACTATATTTAATAAACCAAAAGCTAATTATTTAATTTACCTGCTTTTTCTATAATGCCATATATCTCGGCATTATAGAAAAATGCTGGTGTAGGAGCTGAGGATGAAATGTCCTTCTTGGGATGTGGCCCCATCTTCTCTGTATGCGGCCGCATGCGACCGTGTGTCATCGAAAATAGCTATGTGTGTCAGTGCTGACACACGTGTCATAGGTTCGCCATCATGGACCTAAATGTTTCTTTAAAATCATCCATAGCTGCAAAGGGGAGAGGTGATGGTGGATGAAGCAACCACTCCCGACTCTCTTGTTCATATGACTCGAGGGCATTGGGATGGGGTGATGGTAGCATCTGTCTTACTTGGTTTTGTGAAGAATATTTTTGGACAAAAGGCAAATACAGCTGCATCCAACTTTCCTCTTCCTCTATGCCTCTGGGCACTTGCCATGAGACTGGAGCTTAGGGGGGCTGTAAAAATAGGGGAAAGTGGTGGTTACTGTAGCTGCTGTATTTGGTTTTTCTCTTTTGAGTATTGTGCTGCCAGAGTACTGGCAAGCTGGAGCTCTACTATTTGCAGCCAGCTCTTCCCATCCTGTCTGGAAACCTGGAAGGTGGGGCGGAGGAAACATTATCAGGACATCTTCTCAGGATCCTGTCAGATTTTGAACTAGCGATTGTCTTGAGATGCTTTTCCCCCATTTTAAATCACTGTTAGCAGTCCTTTTACGATAGGCCTCTTCAATCTGCAGCCCTCCAGGTGTTTGGACCTGCAACTGCCAGAAGCCAGCTTCTTCAGTGGTCAGGAATCCAGGGAGCTGAAGTCCAAAACATCTGGAGGACCTCAGATTGAAGATCATTATGATGCCACTGCTTCTCTTTATAGAGACTCCCTGTACTATTGACTTACTATTAAAAGAGGAATCTGGGGAATCACAACAAAATGATGCAGTACTGAATGAGTGCACTATGCCAGATGTGACCCTATGTATCATTTTAGCAGAAACTTTGTATTGATGGTCTAATCTTAATGAATAGGGTTAGTGTTTTCCTGGCACCTTTTCCCCTCCACATCTTATTGAAAGCACCCTCCCATTTTTACATGACAACAAAGGGCTCTGCTTCCAGTACCCTTCTCACTACCCATTTGACCCACACATACGAGACGAGAAGGACCAGAGGGATCTATCAGAAAATGTTGGAAGATAACTCTTCTCAGGATTTTACAATTTATTCCTTTCTCATTTTATCATTTTATCTGTAAAATTCTTAGTACAGTATTCATTTTTGAGGAAAGTAAAACCTGTTGTTAAATAAAAATGTACATTTTACTGAAATTGTATACATTTGTCAACTGTATACATCTGTCTTCTTAAAAAGTCACAGTGTGAACCATTGAATTATTAGGTCATCACCATTACGAATACCAACTAGTAGGACTTCACATATGTCGCAATTTGCATCATCACAAGATAATAGAAGTCACATGCCAGATGCTTTTGGACCAAGAACGGCTCAGCACTATCTGCATCCATCATCTTCACTCTCAACAATGAAAAAAACACTCAATTAGTCTTGGCAGTCTTTTACAAAGACAAAATTCAGGTAAGCGCATCTAGAAATTATTGAAATTTACATATCAAAATTTCAATGTAAATTGCAGTCTATTGATTGCATGGGACAGTGATAGTAACCTATCATTTTTGCAGGTAGTTATTTCTTTCCTATTGAAAATAACACATGTTGTTTTGCCTCTTCCATGGGGAACTCTATCCTGCATCTGGAATGACCACAGTACTGTATTTTCAGTTCTGTAGCATATTGCTTAAGATATGAGTGATATTGCTAAGAAATTATTATTGCACGCATAACATGTAAGCAGTCTAGTGTTGATGTGGTATTAATGTATGGAGGTACTGGTCTCTTTTAAAAATACAAATGTACTACTTAAACAGAAATAGTCACTGCACATAAGACCTTGAATAAATCACTATTCTGTAATTCACAGAAATACACTACAGTTTATCTGATATACAATATACTTTCTTTGTACAGGATAGATCAAATAACTAAATAGTGATTAAATAACTTGCTGTGCAGCACCGGCATTCAGGATTTGATTATTCAAAACCTGAATGCTTTCATATTGTTTTGCCCCCAGTGGTGCAATGGGTTAAACCCTTGTGCTGGCAGGATGGCTGACCTGATTCGAATCCAGGGAACAGGGTGAGCTCCCGTTTGTCAGCTCCACCTTCTCATGCGGGGACATGAGAGAAGCCTCCCACAGGATGGTAAAACATTCGAGCGTCTCCTGGGCAACGTCCTTGCAGATGGCCAATTCTCTCACACCAGAAGTGACTTGCAGTTTCTCAAGTCTCTCCTGACATGGAATATATGTGTGTGTATGCGCGCACACGTACGTGCGAGTGTGTGTTTAAGTATTAAGCTGAACATGATTACTGCCATTTTTTGTTTTTTGTTTTTCATTATTGCTGTCACACAGACGATCTTCCTTAAACATAATGTGTTAACATTTCATACTTATTTTAATTTTAATTGTCTCTTTTTATAGGATCTGGTAGTCTTCTGGGACATTCATTACAAAAATAAATATACCTGCAAGTACTGTAAAACAAGACATTAAACCATCCACTGTATGCTTTTAAAAAGTGTATTTATAAGTATGTCAAAATGAATCCCATTGTATTTTAAGAAGTAAATTACAGAAAATACCATTGTATGTAGTATCTTGATTAAAAATGGTTGAACGATTGTTATTTTGTTAATCTTTTTCTGTGCTATTTCTCCTTGAGAAAACTACTAGCTATAGGGTATTTCAGACAAAAAAATGTGAAAAAAGCTGCACTATTTGTGTTGTGTTTTTATATCCAAATTATGTTTTATTGCCCCATGTTGTTTTCTACCAGTCCCCAGCATTGGCAGCAAAATTTTTATTTCTATACTCATTAAAAAAAAATCTCAGGAATATCACAATAAAAAAATAGAAGGAAACGTGTGCATTGATAATTGAGGGCCATAGTAGGTTTTCTGGAGAACACTTTCTTTAATGATGGCATAAGCCCTAATATTTGCATTACTGTTGAATTCAGATTTTCCTTAACTCTGCTTCCATTTCAAGATGAATTCTGGATAAGTTAAAGGGATTCTTCAGTCTTCATCTTCTTCCTGCTTCTTTTCTTTCCCTGTGAAAAAGAGGGTACTTGGTGTGTCAGTATAAAATAGTACTTTTACAGTAGAACACTATTATACACACATATACACACAAGCTTAGGTACCTGGCTGTGCCCGGATTAGTTCTTTTGTAGTACTATTTATTAGAAATACTCATTCTTTGTTTTTGGATTTTATGAATGATCCCATTAGAAAATGCATAGGGATGTAGGTAAACTACAACTCCTATAATCTGCCATTGCCTTCAAACCCTACCAGTACTTCAAGTTGGTCATGATGGGTATATTTACAAAGTTTGGTCCAGATCCATTGTTGGTGAGATTTTCAGTGCTCTCTGGATGTGGATGAACAACAACTCCCATAATCTGAGTTCAATACCCTTGAAACCCTGACTACATGTAGAGTTGGTCATGGTGGATATGTGTGCCAAGTTTGGTCCAGATCCATTACTGGTTGGGTTCACAGTGCCGTCTGAATTTGGGAGCCATCCTGAAAAATACATACGATCGATCGATCAATGGATAGACAATATTAGAGAAAAAAAGTCCTCCAAACTAAAGGAGCATACCAGAGCAAATCATGACCAGTTTAAAAAAAACTTTGGAAGAGCTTTAGTGCAACTTCTAGCAACACTACATCCAGTGACAATTTCTCCTTCCCAAGAATAAGAAATCCTAACTGATAGGGAACTAATGAATAAATGTGGAGGCTAGGAAGCTAGTCATACAAAGTCGCCCAGGGCTGATCTGGAGTACATCATTCTGGGCATGTCTGCAGTAAGAACCTGAACCAACAATACCGGCTTTTTCCTTGCACCAATTAAAATTTGAAAATCACTACAGAAAATGCTTCAGTTGGACTCCATAAAACGGAAAATCGCCCTGTTTTGCAAGCCTTGCAAATGCTGATTTATTATAATATTTATACTTGTTTTATATACCTGGAATCATATAAATATTTCTCAGCCGGGGCGCCGCTCTCTCCCAGCATTGGAAAGTGTGTATGGGAAGAGGCCCTGGGAGCTCGCATCCAGGGACCGTGCTCCACCGCCCAGCCACCAGTCGACCTCACTTATGGTGAAGCCACCTCTGGCTGAGTGAAGCAGTTGGCGAGTGTGCCCGCTGTTGCTTCCTGCCTCCTTCCTCATGCTTCTTCTGTCCTTCCTGGGCCCAGCTGGGGCCCAACGGAGCATCTGGTGTATGCCATGTCTCTCCCGAAGATTGCCTTTGGCCTCCTTCCTCACACTGGCCTGCACTGGGCACAGAGGACAGACCTCCGTTCACAGTGCCTGCCTTCCTGCCTGCCTAAACTTCCTGAGCCAGGAGGTGAAAACTTTTATTATTATTGTTGTTATTGCTGGGTGCCCATCTGTCAGGGGTGCTTTGATTGTGCTTTCCCTGCATGAAGGCAGAACGAAGGGGGTTGGACTAGATGGCCCAAGGTATCTCTTCCAGTTGTTGTTTATTATTATTATTATTATTATTATTATTATTATTATTATTATTATTATTATTATTATTGAGGCTGGGTGACCATCTGGAGTCTGGGCAAGCGTTTTAAAACAGAGTGGTGAATTTTCTCTCTCCTCTCCCCTCGCTTCTGCCTGGAGTCTGGCAAGCGTTTTAAAACAGAGTGGATGAATTTCCTCACTTTGCTGTCCCTCCCACTTCAGGCTTACACTAGAGAAGCTGTTTTAAACCAGCATGGATGAATTTCCTCCCTTTGCCCCCCCCCTTTTTGGAGTAAAACAACTACTTTCAAAGTAAAGACCACCCAATGAAACAGGAAATAACAGTTTCAAACCATTATTCGGAATTTCGAAGTCTTGGAAGTTTAAAAAAGTTTTGAACATTTTTTTCTATGAAAATCGGAATTGATTTCCAAATCAAACCACCAGCATCCGAAACGAGTTTTTAATCAAACAAGCCTACTAAGTAGCATTGATCTACATGGAAGCAGGATTATACGCTTCTGTATCAGTCATGGGTTTCCCACTCTTGCTGAACCTGTCTCCCCCTTCTGCATTTCCTCCTTCCCTGTATGACTCAAATGGCTGCCCCACCCCTCTCCTTAGAAAAACACATTCTTCTTGTATAAGGCAGGCCACCAGATGATAAATAAACCTTATAGAACTGCCTAACATTGCCAAGCGAGGAAAGTGTCAGCATAATAGTCATTCCTTAAAGGGGCAGAGCTCTCTTTAATTCACCCACTTGTATTCAGTTAGCCTATTCACTTCTCCCTCTGGAGCCCCTGGTGTTCCAATCATGTTTCAGGAGTACTATCTCCTCCCAAAAAATTACTTTATTCAGCCAGAAAAAATTAAGCAATACTTTACCATAGAAGCAAACAAAGCCAGATATTCTTAATAGACAGTCTGAACTAGAATCCAGGGTGTGAGTTTGTGTAATTTGGACTTTGTTCTTCTCTGAAATATCCTTTGCTGAGCAAGACAAAGCATGTGCAAGAGTACCAAATTGAATCTGCTCTTTAGAAGAGATCTGGATAAGACGCCAATGAGAAGAAACAATGGCAAAAGAAACAAGTAGCTATGTGGAATTTGCAGAGAAGTTCTTAGAGGACCAAAAAGATAACAACGATGAGCTACTATTTTCTTTCAGAGGAGTACTATATCCTAGTCGTCTATGTAAAGCAGAGACTTTTGAAGCTCTTGAAACCATGGAAGCCAGAAAGGATGATGTCTTGATAGTGGCTTATCCTAAATGTGGTGAGTATTATTTTGAGAAGAAATTAAAAGGAGGAAAGTTTTGATATTGATTCTTACTTGACCTGGTGATTATTATTTGATGGCAGGTGCCATCTCTTTCCTGCTCAGTTGGAAGTACAGTCTTCTACATTTTCTGGACCTAGGGGTGCAAAGGTGGAGCAACCGAATTTTAAAAAGTATTTTTTTTAACTGAGAGAACATCTGTCTAGGAATGTCTTGCTCCTCCAGAATCCTTGTTTATATCTTCAAGCAAAGTTATGCCTATCAGGTGCCTGTAGTAGCCCATTCTGTCTTCCTAATGCTGTTCCCCATCTCACACATCTTCCCCAGGGATGTAACTAACCAAGCAATGCATACCTTCTTGCTCCATGTTCAGGTAACTGGTTATGCTAACGTCAAACCTTAGTACTCCATGACTAGCTGTCCCATCCTATGGTTAGAGTTATCAGACTGGAAAATGGTGACGGCTTCTGTATATTGAACACTTTAGTACAAGAAATAATTTCAATAGGTATTGCTTGTTGTACATCCAGTTAACAAGCAACACGCCTGCTGAAATTAAATAATGACTAACCTGGAGCTATCTCTAATTTGAACTCTAGCCACTCTCCCCGTGATACTTTGATCTCTTGCAACTTTAGGTCTGCATTTTCTCCATCTCCTTTGGCACTGGAATGCTCTTTTGCTATGGGAGCTATG